ATAGGTTGAACTACTTATGAGCAATTAAATAATGCTATCCCTTCAAAATTCATATTGCAACAACATCAAGATGTGATTTAATTCACAGGCTCCACTCTCACAAATGAAAGCAGCATCTTACAAAAAGGCTGGACATTGAAGGGAGCCTTTGCCCTTCCATTTCTTCTCCTGAGCAAAACACCACGTTCTTCCTCTCAGGACACAGAACCTGTCAGTGCCTTGAGTGTGGACTCCCAGTCTTCTCAACTGTGAATAGATTTCTGTTCTTACCCAGTCTTGGGTATTTTGTTACAATACACCAAATGGTCTAAGAAACTGATGACAATAAAACACACTTTATAATACTACCCAGACTCACTTGTGTGTGCAAGAACATATGAACTAAACTAGTTCTTTAGCAACTGTGTGTCAATTGTTTGGAATGTACCCAGAAGTTTTCTAACCTATTTCATTCTTTCAAAGAATGAAAGAATGCTGGCTGCAACACCACTAAACTGATTTTGTGACCAAGAATAGAAAACCCTGCTCTGGTTTTGCTGAGCTGGCCATCCATTTTCCATTGTTCAGCTCCAACTGATGACTTAGATTCAGGCCCTAAAAGGGAGGGCAGCTTCCTTTCCAAGCAGCAATTAGCCAAGAAAGGCAGCCGGCAGAGTCCCTGACACCATCCTGGGCAGGGATCTCCCCAGCTGGCCAGTCATCCCCCACATCCCTCCTTCAGCTGGTAAGCATCTGCACACCTGCAACCACAGCAGGTGGACCAGAAGTTTCTTCTGCCTCACCATCTGCACTGCTTACATGGAATACTTGAATCATCTCCCCACCACCCTCCCTGGTCTTCCTGCTAGGTAAGTCAGGAGTCTCCTATGTGAGGAAGAAGCAGAAAGACTCAGGGAAACATCCCCCAGTTTCATAAGCAGCTGGGTGTGGTGGTAGACACCTATAATCCCAGCACTCTGGGAGGCTGAGGCAGGAGGAGGCACAAGCCTAGCCAGGGCAATTTAACAAGTTAGCGAGATCCTGTCTTAAAAACTTAAAAACAGCTGTAAGTGACTTATAAGACACACAGTCCATATATAGACAGGTTCAAATCTTGTCTCCCTGAATCTTCTCCCCTCGGGACCCAGAGGCCAAAGACAAACACCTCAGTTTATCTACTGAGTTGAGCCTGGGCCCATTCTAGAATCTAGTCACTAAATCTTTCCCCTTCCCTTTTATTTAGTCTGTCACCAAAATGTATATATTTTAGTTTTCAGGGGAACTAGGTACTGAATCTAATTCTGTCCTGGACCCCAGGCTTCACTTTTCTGAATTCCAGTCTTGTTGTCTGTAAAATGGAGCTCTTTCTGCCCTGCCTTCACCACAGGGCTATGATGAAAACACGTGTGGAAATGCCTTGCACACTATAAAGCACTAAGCAACAGGGCAAGGTGGCATATGCCTGTCATCCTAGCATTATGGAAGGCTGAGGCATAAGGATCACAAGTGTAAGCCCAGCAGAGCCAGCTTGGTGAGACTGTCTCGAAATACATAAAAAGGGCTGGGGATATAGCTCAGTGCGAAGGTCCTGGAGTTTAATTCTTAGTACCACCAAAAACATACAACCACCACCATACAAATATGAACTGTCCTAAAAACCATATATATATGTATTCTTTTGTAAGAACTGACAGCCTTGACTCTGTTCCCCAAATTGTGGTGCTGTCCATTCTCTATGCGTGGTAAAGGCAGATGCCATCTTAGATCCGTCAAAGCACCGCACTTTATTCTTGAGAGCTGGGCTGCCCAGCTCTCCTGAGGGCAGATATCTGATGTCATCAAAAATTCATGGGCTGCAGCAGCTGGTGAATCCACTGTCTCCAGTCATTTGTAACCTCATTCAGAAAGATAATGAGGCCAGGGAGAAGTGGCCCCAAGAGCAATCAACTGGAATATAGCCTAGTCTCAGCTCTTGGGGTCAATCAAGAAATTAAAGGGCATGCACAGGTGTCAGTCATCTTCTGGCCGGATGAAGCTTTGGAAACCACTGCTCATGGACAGAATGACTACCGTATATGGAGGACTTTCCATTCTAGGTCCTGTGCCTTAAAAGAATGATTTCCAGCCTTCCCTACAATCCTCAAGTACCATGTTACTGAAAGGTTAAGTCACAAACTTGCTCAAAATCATGCAGTGCATCAGGCGAACTATAATCTGCTTTCTTTCTTTCTTTCTTTTTTTTTTTTTTGTCTTTTTCGTTTTTATGGGTACCAGTGATGGAACTCATGACTGCCTGCTTGCAAGGCAGGCGCTTATGCCGCTGAGCTAAATCCCCAGCCCCTATAATCTGCTTTCTTATTGCCTTCAGCAATAAGCAAGAACCCAGCCCTCCCCTCCAGTTGATGCTGGGCTCCCTCAAAGATGTGGCTGAATTGTGTGCTGAGTTTGAGGTCAAACCTGTAGTTTGATCCCCAGAGTGATCCCTTCAAATTGGTGGTGGGAATTGAATGGTCACACAGAAAAAAGCATGGCCTTCTACACTGACCAGAAGTAGGCACCGAGGCCCCAGGATGGAGACAGTCCTTTAGGCCTTATAACCTAGGGTCCATGCCCTTCATCAAGAGCTGAGGACAGTGGTTTCTGGATTGTGCATTCAGCTGCTCAATGATTAATGAGAATCTAGTATCGCTTTTGTTTGGACTCCAAGCTAAAAGTGGAAAGAGGAAATAAATGTACCTTTCCTGAGCTCAAAATTCCCCAGAGGTTACCCAGTGCCTTCAGGCCAGGTCAAAGTACCTTGGCTGCCATTCAAGGTCTTCCTGGTCTTACCCCAAACTACTGCACAGACATTTCTCGATCTTAAACCTCTGTCCTAGACAAATGTTCTCAGCCTCACACAGTGAGCTCTGCCCACTCCTCTTCCTGGAACTCTCTCAGTTGGCAATGTCCCTCATTGCCCTTGCAGAGCCAACTGCAACCTGTCCAGAGCCAGTCTAGTCCTGTGCCTAAACTCTGCAGTCTCGTCTTGTCTCAGTCTTTACGGCTCCTGAAGCTATGGCTTTCTCACAGAAGCCTGCACTGACACCTGTGATTGGTCTGGATCTCTCTGGCCTTCTCATTTTGATGTGAAGGGCCTTGACGAGCAGGAGCCCTGTGTTATGTTTCTTTGGGTCCTTCACCCATCAGTAACTACAGAAATGACAGGAATTAAACAAACACTGTTGAATTCATTAGGGATGGATGGAGGATGGTGGAAGTATTAGAAGTGATACAGTTCTCTAAAGATAGAGATGCCTGAATCTTGAGAGCTGGTACTAGCAGGCCAGGCTTTGGGGGAAACATGAGGTGCAGAAGGCAACTCAGGGTGATATGGTACCGCCAATTACAGCTCAGACAGGTGACTCTGGTCTTGCTCAGACACCTGTAGGAAAAGGCCAACTACTGCTCAGTTCAGCTGCAGGGATGTCTTCCTGAAGACTTCTAATTCTAATAGCTACCCTTGGTACACATGCAGGGAATGGTTGTCCAGCTTCTAGGCACCGCCCAAACATGGTCAGGTACATCTCACATGAAGATGGGAGCCCACAAGGTCCCTCACTCAGCCTACAGACCCCTGGGACAGTGCTCAGTCACAGTTTTAAGACTGGTCTCCTGCCAGGGAAGAGAACTCTCACCTGTCACCTGGCCCCATCCCACTATCTAAGACACAGTGCCAAAAGCCAGGCAGGACCACAGACAGACCTAACTGCTCTAGAGGGAAGCCTACCCTCTGGGCAACACTGGCCTCAAATTCCAGCACATTCTCATCTGTAAACTACAAGCAGACCCACAGCCTCTGCCTAACCTCATACTCAGACACAACCCAAAATGACTGCTCTCCTGTGAAGCCATAGGCCATCATGGGGGCATCTCTCTGGTTGGACACATGGTCCTTAAGGACTGCAAGCTAGGGGGAGGATGCCCTGGTCTAAAGTCCAGCCAGGACGGCAGGGATCTCAAGGCATCCTTCAGACCAGAGGTCCATGGGAAAACCTGAAGCATTTGGGCCTCGCAATGCTCCCCACCACAAGACTCCCTTCTTCCAGAATCCCCCAATCACACCCAGCTCCCCGCTGAGGGCTGCACCTGTCTCCAGCCATGGACGGCTGTTTCCTCAGCTCCTAGTGTTTGGAGTATAGGGCTGGGGGGCTGTCTGGGGGCAGAGCACAGATCCCTCCCGGGAAGTTCATCTCTGCAGCAACTGGGGAAGCGGGTAACAGGTAAAAGCGGGTGAAGCTGGGGTTTACAAGTGACCAGTCTAGAATCTGTCTCTCTGCTGGGGTTCCATTCCTGCGCCCTCACCTGGGTTGAGGCCCTACTTTTCCTCACCATTCTCCCAGGGCTACTCACCTGTGTCCATGGTTCAGCCTACCAACCTTCCCGCAGACCTTAAGAGGAGTATGGGCCGGGGGCTCAGAGGGGACAGGACGACCCCTTCCCGCAGCCCTGCTATCCTCTCCTCCATCTCGCCGGGTTGCCAAAGCCACCCCCCCCAACACTCCCCCAGGAGTCCGGCGAGATCTCCGGGGCACGGCAGCCTCAGAGGTGGCGGCGCGGCGGGAAACCGGGAGCCATCGGCTGACCCCCTCCAGATCCTGGAACTGGTCTCTCTCCAGCATGCCCAGAGAGGGGCCAACAGGCAGGATCAACAATCCAGAAACTTTCGGTGGATCGCGCGGAACGACCAGGAGGGGGCGAGGGGCACAAGCACGGTGTGTGTGTGTATGTGTGTGTGTGAGCTCTGGGGCAGCTCGCTCTCACTTACCATCTTGCTCACATCCATGACCAAGGTCGCAGGGCGCCCCCTACCACTGGAGACCCTGCGTCCTCCGAATGCTGCTCCGAACTACTGCAGAGCCTGTGCCATGCTGCAGGGAGCACCGGCAGGGCCCGGTGGCCAGAGCCGGCAGAAGGACCTAGCGCGGTGGGGCGGGTCACTGGGCGGGGAGGGAGAGGGGCGTGTAGAACCGCAGCACAGGCGGGGCGAGGAGGAGTGGCCGGGCACCCCTTTGACTGCTGGCTGCGGGAGGCACGCAGGCCCGGAGACGATCCCCGGACAAGTCGCCCCAGCGCTGCGCCAGGGTGTGATTTGAATAACAAAAGGTCGCTTCCTTCCCGAACCCTGGCGGCTGGGATCCGCAAGCCGGAGCAGGAGGCTGCCTGCCCGCCAGGAAGTGAGTGTGTGTGTGTGTTCCTTCGTGCGTGTGCGCGCGCGCTCGCGTGTGTTCTGGTGGGGGGGAACAGTGGGACTCAGGAAGTGCGCAGGGGTGGGGGACTGGCGGTGCAGGGAGCAGACATTCCAGCAGGGGCAGGGGGTCCGCTCGGCCCCTCCCCACTCTGCTTCCCCGGACAAAGAGGGAATTCAGAGCCAGTTGTTTGCCTCCTGCAGCTGATCCCCAGAGGCCTCCTAAATGAGTCGGAGGTCTCCAAACAGACGGCCAAATGGAAGGAAGTGGCACAGGTATCCCCAGGAGGGCTCTAAGTGCTCTCCATCCCCATCCACTAAGGGGCCACAGCCAGCCCTTCCTGGAGAGAGGGAAATTGGCTCCCTCTCTTTTAAATGATGTCTACACTGAGCTCAGAGCTCCCTCCTCCCCAGACAGAATTCCCGTCTCCCATTCCTTAGAGAAATGTGACGCCAGCTCTCCTATCTGCAGGAGAAGCAGCTGGGGGCCGGAAGAGGGCTCCTGGCAAATGTTCCTTTGCAGTAAGGTCCCTGGAAAAAGCCTGGCCGCTCAACCCTATACATAGTTTCAATACAGGCTTCCTCTCAAAATCAGAGGAACAACAAGATTTAGGGTGCAGTAGAGACAGCAGGAACCTGAGAATCCACTTAGGCCAACTCTGCTTTAGATGGCAGGACCCTGAGGTCCAGAAAATGAGTAATGTACCCCACATCACACACTTGACAGGAGACAGCACAGTTAAGAACAGGGTTGCCCAAGTCCAGAAGGGCTTCCCATGCCGCCACAGGGCAGTTCCGCCACAGGTGAGCAGCCTGCTTTTCAGATCCTTTCAAATGAACAGGTGACAGTCACCTAGACACTGGGTGCTGGGTCTCCTGCTGAACCAAGGAGCCTTGCTGAGGTGACTAGCAACCTCCTCCCCTTCCAATATGAGTGTTTGTTTGGTTTTTTGTTTTGTTTTGTTTTTCTCTTTTTGCGACAGGATTTCACTATGCAGTTCCAGTATTTTCCAGAGTATTTCTCAGGTTGGCCTCAAACTTGTGGTAATCCTCCTGCCTCAGCCTCCCAAGTGCTGGGATTATAGGAGTGTGCCACCACATCCTGCTCCAATCTTGAGTTTTTAATCTCGGAAATCTTATTTCTCTGCCTTCTTGGTGGTGACGGTGGAGATGTGAGAACACCATGCTATTCAAGCAGGAATGTCAAGGGCTTTCACAGTAAAGGTGATTTTCATGACCTTGTCTGGAGGCTTGGTCAAGGGTCTCTCAGCTTCAGGTTGAGGTCTCTGGGTCCAGGTCCCTCTGTTTACCTAGGTTTGGACCTCATTCTTGACTTGCAGCTCCTCCCTCCCCCCATCCCAGGGCTGCGTGGCTGTACAGAAGCTGTACCCCAGCCTGGGAAGTCAAGGGCACTGTTCTGGGCAATTTTGGTGTGCTGGGGTCCCACACTCCCATCCCTTTACCCCTACCCACTAAACAAATGCAGTAGCAGAATCAGTGAGGAGCATGACTGCTTCACTTTTGGGGCTGACACCCAACGGAGATCAGGGCTCTATGAACCTGCAGGGGTCATCTCATGCACAGATGAGTTCTCAATTATTAGCTATTTGATTAAATGGATTATCATTTTGTCCTTTTAAAAAAAAAAAGCCAGATGTGGTGGTGTACTGTAATCTCAGCTACTTAAAAGGCTGAGGCAGGAGAACAAGCTCAAGGATAGCCAAGGGAATTTAGAAGGACCCTGTCTCAAACAGGGATGGGTCCAAGTGGGTGTAGCTCAGCAGGATTCAATCTGTAACATCACAAAAAGAATAAGAAAACATAGGCAGGTTTTATGTTTGGAAAAATGATATGAGTCCTCCAAGCCTGGCGCTGATCAACAGATCAAGGTTTCCCAATAGATCTTGACTTCTAGCTTGGCAAAAACCATTTTCTTTTCTTACCTCTTAAGATGGAGATAGTAATACTCCCCCTACCCACCCAGAAGGGCAGTGCATTCAAATCAAAGTGTCCTCCCAAAAGCTACCTGTAAGGAGGCTGGATAATGGCCCCTAAAGGTATCAGGTCCTAATCCCTGGTACCTATAAATGGCAGAGACTTTGCAGCTATGTTAAGTCTCCCAAGATGGAAAGATGGTCCCCAATTAACCTTCATAAACACTAAATATGATCAGGTGTCATTTTGAGAGGAGAATTGGCACACAGATGAAACAAAGCAGTATACCACAGATGCATAAACTGGAGTGATGTGGCCACAAGCCAAGGAGGACCAGCAGCCACCAGAAGCTGAAAGAGGCAAGGAACAGAGTCTCCCCTACAAGGAAGAAAGGGTATGGCCCTATCAATGCATTTGAATGTGGCTCGGTGACACTGGTTTCCAACTCCTGGCCTCAAGGACTGTGAAAAGACACAGTTACTTTAACCACTGTCTTTAGCAGCCACACACTGCTCAAAGCTTGATAAATGCTGGTGTCCCAGCACTACTCACCTCAGAGTTGCCTTCTCTTAAGAATTCCTTGCCCAAGAGCTGCCCACATGGCAGCAACAGAATGAGCCAGCCAATGGTAGACTATTCCTTGCTCCATAGAGGGCATCCTACCAGCAGCCCCTGGCAATTAACAAACCCCAATATACAAGCAGGTGTATGCAAAGGTACCCATGCACATGCATGATCCCTGAGGTTGGAGCTGCCCTGTTCAGGTGAGGGAGCCTCTTTCAATAAAGTGCACAGCAAGAGAAACAGCCAGCCCAGAACCAAGAGTGCTACAGGGCATAGGCTGCTACTGTACCCTTTCTTCACAGGCCATTCCACCTGACCACTTTGTGCTGGATGGTCTTGGTCTCATAGGTACCTGCATACTCAAGCCCACAGATCAATTTTTCTTTTCCCTGTCTTCGCAATCTGTTCCTTCTATGTTTTCTATTTCTATTTCTATTCCACTTTGTTTCCTAAGCTTGAAACTTCCATGTTGGCCTTAGTTTCTCCACCGACAACCTCCCACTCATCCTAACTCTGACCGTTCCTGCCCTGGCTAAGGCTTTCAGTAGCCTCCAGACCTGCGTCATGTCCCCAGTCTCTTTCTTAGTCACCTTCTACACACTTAACTGTGAATCCCCACCAACCTGCCTCAATTGAGGACCTTTGATAGTCAAGATGAGACCTTACTACTCTGGCTTCCTCTCCCTCTGTCTAACCTATCTTCTCCTCCCACTCCATCAAACTGCTCGCCTGTGCTCAGGGCTGCTCCAGGAATGCCCTTGCCATGTCTTCACACTTCCTTCAGATGTCCCCTTCCCTGTGAAGCCATCCCTGACCCATCCTGACATAGCTGATACCGTGGGAGACCCTTCCCAGCATGGGCAGTCCTGGGGTACTGTTTGAGTCACCCTAGGATAGGATCCTGGACCCTCTCTGTGACTGTGAGCAAACTCAGACCAAGGCTTTAGCCCACTGACCTTTGTACCCTTACTTCCCTATTTTAGGGCTCCTCTGACCTACATTCATACCTTCATCATCAAGCCATCCTAGATACATGGAGGACCTAGAAGGCTCTCGGTTCCTTGATGGAATCCATGGAGAGGGCACATGGTGGTGTCCTGGTGGAGGCTGACACCTACTGGCAACCAGGATTCTGCAGCCTATCCCTACAGATTGCACACTGAGGACCCTAGATGACAGGCGTGGGTGGACTTTATTAGAGACTACTGTGCCTTAAAGGCACAAAAGGCCAGTAATTCCCACTAATAGAGTTTAAACTACAAATACTCCCTATAAAAGGGCCTCATAAGTTAAGTTATTATGCTACTACTAAAAATAAGGCTCCACAGAGGACTGGAATGTTTATAAAATGCCCTTTGTTCACTGGACAAATACCAGGTAGGCCAAATGGAATAGGCACTTTCGGTTCAACATATATTTTGCAGATGAGGAATTATAGAAAAGCATACAGCTAAAACCTAGGGATAGGGAGGGGTTGTCCTTGTTTTTGGTACCAAGAATCGAACTCAGGACCTCACAATTGCCAGGCAGGTGCTGCGTTGCTGAGCTATATCTCTGGCCCTTAAAAAGTCATCTTGATTTAATAGCAGTAAATAAATGAGCTAAATAGGAGAAATCACTGACAGTGCAGAGCTGAGCTGTGGAGGTCATTGGCTGGGCAGTTCCTGTTCTTCTCTCCTTGTAGGGACTCCTACAAGCAGAACCTCTGGCCAGCGTGAGGGAGATCCCAGCAGGCCTCTGCTACTTTTGCCTCCAAGAGGTTCATGTGTCCTCAGTATGGCATGCTTTGGTCCTCAGTATGGCAGTGCACAGGTGGTGAGACCTTTAAGAGTTGGAGCCTACTGGGAGGTCATGGGGTTGGAAAGGGTTAAAACAGCTCGGTGCAATCCCTTGGTTAGGTCTAAGGACAGTTGTTATAAAAGCAGCAAGCCTGGCCATTCCCTCTGCTCTGGCTGTCTGATGAAGGATCTGTCTGTTTGTCTCTCTCTCTCTTTCTCTCTCTCACCTTTTAGGGTCACACAATCTTATACTTTCAGCCCCCCAAACTATGATCTAAACATCTTTTCTTTATACAATAAAGCTATCCAGTTTTGGGTAACTTGTGATAGTTATGAAAAATGGATGCATACAGCCAGAGATTCTACTGGCTACAGAGAATTTACACTGGGCTTGCCTTGAATTTTTTTTTTTTTTTTCAGTGAGTCCCCACCCCTTTACCTTGTTTCCTCTCTTTTTGGGGACATAATTACACTTTAAAGTTTAGAAAGAAAGAAAACAATCCTCTCAGGAAACACAAAAGCTCCTAGACCTACAGAGTATCTGAAAGGCACGATGCCCAGGGACAATGGGAAGGTGATGTGGAAGCAGGAAGATGGAATTGTGTCATGCTCTGGGCCCACAGCACTTTACAATACCTGTCTCTCTTGGTCCCCACAACAACCTCTATATAGAAAGCATTATCATTATTATCCTTCTAATACAGACAAGGAAACGAAGGCCCAGAGAGGTTAAGTGACCTGTGCAAGGGCCCTACAGCTCATAAGCAGGGAGCCAGGATTGAATGCAGGCCATTTTTGGAGCCCTCTCTTAGTCCCTACTTTGGGTGCACCTGTCCTCTCCAGGATTAGCAGGCAGTTTAAACTATGTTGTCATTAATGTAAATTCTTGTTTACAGTGCTGATTTTCTTCATTCTGAAAGCTTATGAAGTAGTTATGAGTCCCCTGAGTTGGCTGCCTTTCTGTCCTTTCCCTGTCTAAACTGCACAAATAAGCCAGGAACTGGGAAGCTGTGGTTCAGTGTGGGGCCCGCTAGTGACCCCTGACACTTCCTTCCCTCCAGGGCACACTTTCGCTGTACCACAGGCTTATCCACCAGACGTGTGCAAGGCTGGGCCTTATGAAATGACTCCCCTCTTGTAGCTTAAATACTTTCCCTGAACACAGATTTCTTCCTAACACACTAAACAAGCCCCGTTTAGAGATACCTAACATTGTCCCATGTATTCTACATTCTGAAACTGAAGCTAAAGTAAGTATTAATTCTGAGGCACTAGGTAAGCACCATGTACCTATAATCCCAATACTCAGGGAGGCTGAGGCAGGAGGACGACACGCTTGAGTCCAGCCCGGGCAATTTACTGATTTAGCAAGATCCTGTCTCAAAATAGTAATGTTCTAAAAAGGGCTAGCAATGTAGCTTAGTATGAAGCCCTTGGTTTATCAACAGTATCACACACAAAAAAAAAAAATTTAAAAGACTAAAAAGCCAAACCAAAACAGCAACCAAGTAGAAAGAAAATGATTGCTTTGACAAGCAGCTGTAGGGATGAACAAGATCACAAGTTTGGCAAGTTTTTCAGAGCTTTCAATGAAACAGCCCTCTGTGGTATGCATGCCATAGATCTGCCACAACCGTCCCAGGACATAACAGAGAAGACCCCATAACCAAAGGGGAAGGAGGTGAAGCAAACGACTGAGGGGAGGCCCCAAAGTTAAGAAGGTGTTAGAAAGGGAAGTGAACTGCCAGGTGGGCATTGAAATTCCCACCTCTGGTAGTGCTGCTGTTGGTGACAAAGGGGTTCAGTTTCCACCTCAGCACGTTTTTAGCCAAAACCTTCAGACTGAACCCCTGGTTTTTCCCTTGACCTCTTGAAACATAACTCATGCTGGGCACACTGGTACATGCCTGTAATCTTAGGGGGCTGAGGCCTGTAATCACTGAGCTCAAGTCCAGCCTGAACTGGATAGCAAGACCCTGTCTTTAAAAAGAACCAGAACAAATAAACAACAACAAAACATAACTCACGGAATCTTCCTTTTCAGATGCAAAATGTTTTTACAAAAAACTCTTAGAAACAGGGTGACAATAAAATGTAAAGTTGAACAGCCCTCTTGGGGAGGTCCTAGGCTTGCAAAAGCAGTCAGTGGTACAGCCCGGAATCCCAGAAACTCAGCTGAGTGGCTGCGGCTGCCCTCAGAACCCCCCTGACCCTGCCCTGCCCCGCTGTGGTCCTGCTGAGCTAGGACACCAGAACCTCTGGGCTGAGTCCTCTGCTGCCTGTTAGGCGCTGGGCCTGCAGGAACCTCGGTCCCCTGACTTGCTCTAGGCAGTCCTCCTGACCTAGGCTACCCACACATGTTGACATTCACACAGTGGCCAAAACAAAAATGTGGGCGGTCATCTCTGGAAATCTCCATGGACAGCTCTGGGCGCAGTGCCCCCCAGTCCCAGCAGGGGTGGTCAGTAAAGACCTAGTTCCAGAAATCTGTGTAGTGCAGCCTGCATAAAACCTGATGACCATCTGTGTTGTGCACTGCCAACCACTGGGTCCACAGGAGTAGGGTGCTCACCTGTCCAGTGCCAGGGGTCAGGCTCTGTCCTGTCTGGTCATCTGCTTGCATGGTCATTGTTTCCCCCACGCTCATAACCCACCTTTCCCAGGGGTCAACTCAGCCCAGCAAACACGCCAATCTCTTCCAGCTAACAGTCTGTCAGCTTTTGAGGAGCGAGGCAATCAACCAGGACATGCTTGCCTCAGGGCACTCTCCAGTGAGGGCCAGGGATGCAGAGCTGCCCCTGGGAACCTGGAGAGCCACAGAATAAATGAGTAATGAGAAGAGGCCTGAAGTGGCACTTAAGAGCCAGGAAAGGTCAAGTGCTTTGTAATCACGAGCACCAAAGTCAGTCTGGAGGACAGGCCTGGGAGCGTAGCCCATGACAGAAGGTCCCTGGAGGTGTAAAGTACCTTCCTGGACCAGCAAAGGGCTGATGTTCTCTCAGGAGTAAGGGCCGAGAAGCCGTGAGCACTCCCTCACTCTAGCACCAACAACAGCGTGCATGCCCAAGAGACTTGGCTGTGGTTTTATCGTTCGTGAACCTGAAACCCAGAACTCTGCTTCTAGTTTTGCTAACCAGTGGCTCATTGGTGCTCAAACTGTGGCAATTGCTGAATGAGTTGGAACTGTGCTTCCCTTCCTGGGATGGATGCAGACAAGCGAGGACAAAGAGTCTCAAGTGCTCCCAGTTCTCAGGTCATTCCAAGGGTGCTGGGCAGGGGACAGGGCTGCTTCTGGGCCAAGTGGTCCCGACAGGTGACAGACAGCTCCGGCCCCATATAGGGAAGTATCGTAGCTTTAGTCCTGTCCATCTTACTCCTGTGGTCTCCTAAGGGACGGTGTGGGGACAGAACAATCAAGGGAAGCTAGTGGCTAGGGGCAGTTGGGGCACAGTATGCTTGGCAAGGTGGCACAGTAGAGCTGAACCCAAATAAGAAAGTGGTCATGTGGAGTATGTGGCATGATCTAGCAGTGCTCGTCTCACTGAGCAGATCCATGCAAAGCTCAGGGAGCTCCAGCCAGGACACTCAGGGTCCCTGTGCAGGCATCCCTACTGTAGGAAGGACTGGGCCATGCGCCAGCCAAGTGCAACCAACTGTGGTCACCATGGGTAGTGAAGCCACCAGGTGGCTGAGGCACTGCCTCTGTAGGCCTCCAGACGGTAAATCTGTGCCCAGCAGTGTCTCAGGCCATCAGGGCTTTGGAGAGAGGCAGGCTGGAAGCTGCCGGCTATTGGAGATACAGAGGGACCAAAGAAAGGAATGGGACATGACCTGCTGCTGGGTGAAGGCGGCAGCATCAGCCTGACTGAAGAGTGGACCTGGGAGCCAGGAGGAAGGAAGACCACTAAGAGGAAGCTGAGCCTGATGTGATGATGCATGCCTGTAATTCCAGCTACTTGAGAGGCTGAGGCAGGACGATCATGTGTTTGAAGTCAGTATGGACAACTAAGCAAGATGCTGTCTCAGAATAAAAAATAAAAAAAGGGCTGGAGATGTAGCTCAGTGTGGGGCCTAGGTTCACTCCCATTAATGGGATGGGGAGGAAAGAATCTGGAGGGATCGGGACAAGGGACTTGTCTTCAGGACAGTGGGGCAGGTGGCTGCCTTGCTGGCCCTCCAGTATGGAAGGCAGTATAGTGACACACTGTGGCTTGGGCAGGTCAGCAATGAGATCTGAGAGTCAAGATCTTGTGTATCAAGGGGACCAGGGAGTCTCCCTGGTGGCAGGATAAGGCCACTCGGGCAGCCTCAGGTGGAGAAGAGCAGGGCTGTTTACTAGCTATGGCTTATGGGGAGCTTTGGTTTTAAACCCCTTTGGATATAAATACAGTTTTCAAATAGATCCTCTTCTTTCTGTGTTTTTAAGGAAACTTTTACAATGACATAGAAAAGCACTCTGCAAACACTTTAAGCTCCTTGGAGTGTGTCCCAAGTGGTGATTGTGATCACAGTGGTAGCAACAGCACTTCAATTTTTTTTTGGACTGGGAATGGAAGGTAAGGCTCTGTGCATGCTAGGCAAGCACTCTTTAATCCTTTTGGGGGGCCAGTAAGGATTTACATCCTTCTTACTGACTAACATCCCTAGCCATTTTTTAAAACTTTGAGATAGGGTCCTATTAAGTCACTAAGTTGCCCAGGCCAGTCTCAAACTTGGAATTCTCCTGCTTCAGCCTCAAATAGCATAGCAGGTATGTGTCACCATGCCCAGAAGCACCTTCTTAACCAAGCAGATACTATGCCCAGCCATGCCTCCCTCTGAACTTGAGCAGTCAGTAGTCAAAAAACAGGGCATGGAGTAAAACAGGGGCCAGTTTTGCTCACAAGATGATCATTGCTTACCGCAGGGATTCTGATATAACCGGCCTAGAGACTGCTTGGGTATCAGAACTTTAACGCTTCCCCAGGACATGGATTTATAACCATGACTGAAAGCAACTGAATGACCACTGCTAAGACTCAGGAACCCCAATCTGGATCTTACCTGAAGTTAAGGGGTGCAGGAGGTGAGGAAGTGGGGCACTTCCCTTACTGCCTCTTCTACTCTGGGAATTTCCGAGCTTCCACCTGAAATTTTTCATCCCTTGGCAAAGCCTCGGTGCAAGCAGAGACCTCTGAACCCTTTGCTCCTGGAAGCCTTTTTTCCTCTTTACACTGCCAACTCCTTGGATCAAACAATGTCCATAGTCTTTTCTTGACATTTGACATGACAAGGGAGGAAGACCCCTAGTGGCTGGTTTATGCAAAAATGCCTAGGGAACCCCAGCACCATTCTGCAAGCCAGACCTTGTGGAGGAAGAAAACAGGCTTGGTCTCAGGATGCTGCTTTTTACAGGCAGGTTAGGACAGCAGCAATTACCTTCTGGGTTTGTCTGGCTTTGGTTTTTTTTTTTTTTTTTTTTTTTTTTTTTTTGTCTTTTTTGAGACTGGTGTCTCGCTATGCAGTTCAGGCTGGCCTTGAGCTCACTTTGTAGCCCAGGCTGGTCTCGTTCTCGCAACGATCCTCCCACCTCAGCCTCTCTAGTGCTGGGATTGTGAGCCACCACGCCCAGCTTGGCTTTGGTTTTTGAGACAAGGTCTTGCTACATATAGTTAACACTGGCCTTGAACCCATTATGTAGCCCAAGCTGGCCCTGAACTCATGATGATTGTCCTGCTTCAGGCTCCCAAGTGCTGGGATTCTAGCAATGCACCACCCTGCCTGGCCAATCTTCTAGATTTCTAAAGCCTTCCAGGCAAGCTATGTGTTAGAGGCACCCAGACAGACTGGAAGCAGCCACCAAGCCCCTGAGTGAGCAGGCGGCTTGGAAGTCTGGCCTGGGGACACCAGCTGCTGGAGCTCTCTGCCTTAGCCCCCCTGGTCTCCCTTGCAGTCGGCAATCTGGGGAACTCTTTATGGCTCAGCCCAGGTGCTGCCAGCCTTGTACTGCGAGGTTTTCCACTGCCCCACCCAGCAGAACACATCCAGAAGTCTGCCCCTGTCCAGTGATCCCTGAAGCAAAGATGTGTCCCAGAAGCATGGACCGGGCAGAGGGCAGGAAGTACCAGCTCAGAGATGCCTTACTGACCGGGGCTAGCATCCTTGCCCTGGAGTGGGTGGCGGCCAGGCTAATTCCATGTTATTACAGCCTTACAGGAAGCCAGCCTGGCTCGGCTGCCAGCCAACAGCAATTTATAGGCCCTCAGGGAAAAGAGGGAGGGAGAGGAGGGAAGAAAAGGGAAAACATACCCTCCACCCCCAAAACTGATCCTGGGCTATTTTTAGCTGCTTATTCATCCCACGAATTACTTTTTAAGAGTCACAACAGGAGCTCTGTACAAAAAACAGCTTAGCAGTAGGCAGCTGCTCAGACAGGTGGACATGGAGGGGGCACCTGTGAGTGTCAGCATCTGCCTGCATGGAAAGGAGGAAGAAAAGAGGGTCACCAAGACCCTTGGTGCAGGGAACACATCACCCCCCCCCCCGCAATTCTGCAGGAGGAAGGGTATTAGAAGCTTACAAACCAGAATTTCCAAGTTCAAGTCCTATCTCCACCTCTTACTTGCTGGCTGGGCTCTCAGAAGAGATTCTAGGCATCAACACTTTCTGAATGTGTGGCCTTGAGCAAGTCACTTAACTGCCCTGTGCCTCAGTTTCCCATTTAAGAACAGGGCCAAGAAACAGTAATGGATTCTGCCAGGTGTGGTGGTGCCTGCCTATAATCCTAGCTACTTGGACATTGAAGCAGAACAATCAAACTCGAAGCCAGCTCATCTCAAAATGAAAAACTTAAAAGGGGCTGAGTGTAGCTCAGTTCTTGAGCACTCCTGGGTTTAAACAATAACAAAAATAAAAATAACAATTAATAACTACTTCTGAAGGTTGCTGTGAAACTGAATGAGTTAATATACACAAAGTACTCAGAAAATTGCCTCGTATACCTGTCATTATGAGTTGGCTAACAATTTTATTAAAGCACCATATATACTAATTATTACTACCAGTAATAATAATTTCAAATGATACATTAAGCAAGGCAGGGTAGTGCATGCCTGTAGTCACAGCTGCTTGGCAGGCAGAGGCAGAAGCATCAGTTGAGTCTAGGAATTTTAAGGCCAGCCTGGGCAACACAGCAAGACCCCATGGGAAAGAAAACAGTATACTGGGGTAGACAGAGGATGAAGATACAAGCTACAGAAAGCCTTAAGTAAAAAAAGAGGAAATAAAGTCACTTTCATAATCCAACACCCACCAAGAACAGGCAATGAAATGGGGCTCTTTTCCCCTTAGGTGGGAATGCAGAGACGCACCTCCTTCCTGTCACCAGGTAACCCACGGTCGAAGGCTAAAAAGGGTGAATGCAAGTGGGAAGCTGTGGCAAAGCTAACAGGAAGAGCTTGGTGATGTCGGAAGGCTCCAAAATCACCTATCAGATGGGATGGTTAGTTCTGTGTGTCAACCTGGCTGTGTGCTGGGGCCCCCAGATACTTGGTTATTTGTGGATCTGTGGGTTAGGGTGCTTCAGGGTGAGCATGTGACTGGGTGGCCTCTGTAAAGCTGACTGCTCTCCCAGTGTGGGTAGACACCACTCAGCCTCTGGCGGCCCGCAGGGAACAAAAGGTGGGAGAGGAAGGAATCAGTCCTTTCTCTGCCTGGCTGCAGAGCAGGGACATCTCATCTCTCGGGACTGGGACTGATACCATCGGATCCACACCATCAGCCCCACCAGGGTCTTGGGCCTCCAGACTCAGACTGAATTTTGCTACCAGCTTTTCTGGATCTCCATTTTGCCAGTGGTGATCATGGAACTTCTCAGCCTTCATAACAATGTGGGCCATTTCCTTATAATTAATTAGTCTCTCTCTGGGTCTCTGTCTCTGTTTTCCTTTCGCTATCTTTCTGTGACTCCAGAAACTTGACAAATCCATTTAATGATCACAGTCTTTAAAATCTGGCCACCTCTGCCCTACCACCTGCTTCCCTTTGCAGACCCTCACACCATCAACCAGCCCTCTTTGTCCTCTCCCTCCAGTCTCACCCACCAAGTGTCTGCTGGATGGTCCCAGCCCTCAGATCTCTCAGAAAGACTCTGTGGGTGGCAGCTGCTTAGGAACACAGCACAGGTGCCCAAAGCATGGGGCAGGGGTGGGGCACAATGCCAGGGTACTTTCTGGGGAGGCAGTGACAGATGAAAACATTCCCGACAGGGGTAAAAGTGGTCCTGTGCCTGGGGAGGTGCCAACTCACTCCTCCTGAAAGCCCCTAAGAGTTCCCCTCCTTCAGCCTTCAGGGGGATCCCACAGCTGGCCAGCCTTGTCCCCTTGCTTCTGCCCACTTGGCCCAGCCTTTGCTCGCAGCTTGTCTGTCCCTTTCTGTTTTTCTTTCCCTGCAGAAAAACATACATAATACCGACTGCCTCTCCTGCAAAATCTTCTCAGGCAACAACGGCCTTCCCAAAGGACAATCTGTGTCTCTGCTGGGATGACTCGGCCTTTTGAGGGCAGGATCTTGGTCTGATTCCAAGTTCTGCCCAAAGCAAGCAGCTTTTCCAAACCTCAGGTGAGGCCCTTGAAGCATAAGCACAGGGAAAATTCTACCACTATCCAATATACTGACATCACTAGAGCGGATGATACAAATCTGAGGTGGAAAATTCCAGAAATAAACAATTCACAAGTTTTAAGAAACTTTTATTGTAAATCATTGTTATAGTTTCCTACTTCATTATTATTTATCATTCTTAATCTCTTACTGTGCCTAATTTGCAAATTTAACTTCATTATAGGTATGTACACATAGGAAAAACCCCAGCATATGTAGAGGTCATTACTTCCTGTAGTTTCTGTGATCCACGAGCGATCTTGGGATGAATCTCCTATGTCTAAGGAGACCAGTGTACCTTTAATGGAAATAGTATGCAGGCAAGGCTTATTCCTTTTCTAGTAAAAAACTAAAAAATGTCAGCTGAAATTTCAAGCAAAACAATAACTTTGACCTCATTAATCTGAGAAATTTCCATTCCTCTCCTTGGGCTGGAGACCCCTTGATTGGAGCGGGGGAGGTCTCTCCTTTTGAAAATCCTCTCACAGCAAAGCGCTTGACAAGGTTGCTACTCACAACTGTCAGACGCCACATGCTTTGAGCTGCATACACACTGGCTATGTGATCTGAGACATCTTATTCTCTGTGAGCTACAGTTTGTGTGTCCATAAAATGGGTATAAACACCACTCACATAAGAGGGTGTTGTAAGGGTCAAATGACAAATACTATTTAAGAAAGTATTAGGAAACTATTAATGCCCTAGCTGGGGATTTAGCTCAGTGACATAAATGCCTGCTTGGCAAGTGTCAAGTCATGACAATCCCCGGTACCAAAAACAAAACAAAGCTATTAATGCCCACAAAACTTGCTGAGCTGCAAAAAGTTACTTTTGTTGCTAAGTCCCATCAGTAAACAATAAAAAATGCCTGTGGACAGGTTTTATCATTACTATTTCTTGTCGGTTCTTATGCCATCGATATCAATGCTCTTCCCTCTTGTGCCTCCACAGATTTGGCCTGAGTGATGTTCAGGATTCTACACCACCATCCAGAATGGCAGGATCCAGAAAGCACTGGCTCTGAAGATCTGTTTCTTTAGTGGCCTGAGTGGGGCCAAGAGGGTCACGCGGTCCCATTCCCAGTTAGATCTGCTATCCTGGTCAGGATACCTGATGATAGTCCTTAGTACAGTTGCAGGAGGCCTGGAGGCCGTGCCTCCTTGTTGTGGAGGTCAGCGCAGGCAGTGGGAGAAACATCAGAAATCTGCTTTCTCCTCCTATCTCCTACTTGATCTGCAAGATGTCCAGCCTATTCTATATTCCTCAGTTTATAATCTGTTCTCCTTAAAGCAAAAGATGCCTCCTTGAGATGCGAGCTGATCATCAGCCTTCTTTGTTGTGCTATGAAGAGTCTAGGGCTGGTGCCGAAAGAATGGGAGAGAGTCAGGGCTCTTGGGACCCATCTTGGGTGACAGATGCGGCTGGGGGTCTTGACCTCTCCTGCTCATGGCTGAATCCCAGCTCTGTGGCAGTGCATGGCACACAGCAGGCACTCAGTGAATTTTTGCTGGATGTATGCATGATTGCATGCAAGAAATCATTTCACCGACCTGCCAGGCCCTCTTCTGAGTGCTGGGGCACACCAGGGACTCTGCCGTCCCATGTCCTGGTGGTGCCTCGGGCTTTAGCATCGGGCTCCACACTGAGCTCCCACGTCTCAATTCCCTGCAAAGTAGTATTTAGAGATGAGCTAAATGAGACCGAGAAGCTAAAGGCCCAAGAGGCAGCACTCCTGTCTCTTGTCTGATTTGCTCATCACATATGAGAGCCATAGGATGCTTCCATAGCTCTTTGTTGATCCTCACTGTTCTGTTACACAGTCTGGAGCTCACCTGTCCATCCACACATCCAGCCTCCACTAGGTACCACTGGTGCCAGGTTAGGACCAGGTCCCAGGGAGTACTCTTTCTAACAAAGGGACTAAAGTGCTCTGCAGCTGCTGTAGAACAGTCCAGTGGCCTCTGAAGATATTAAACAGAATCGCCACATGACCCAGCAATGCCACTCTGAGGTTTATACCTAAAAGCACAGAAAGTGGGGACTCAAATGGAATAAACTTGAACACCTGTGCCCACAATAGTCACAGAGAGAAACAGCCCAAGTCCATCAACAGATGACTGCATAAACAATGCACTAAGTCCTTGCAATGGAATGTGGCTAGAACAAACACAGTAGCTATCTTCCTTCTGCTTATATCCCAATAATCAACACAGAAGACTTCTAAGACCTCAAAAGTACGGGGATTTCTCCCCCTCGGTAAGCAAGCAACTAGCAGGGTGTCCTCTAGTCCAGTCTAGTTCTGTCACCGCCTAGCTGGAGACAGTGTGAGATCACATAGATGAGGGCTAAGGCCCCAAGACTGATTACACCTCTCCCACAATTCACACGCCAGTCTCAAGTCTGTGCTTCCAGCCAATCAGCTAGCAATCAGGATTCCTGCATTCCCTTCCTCAGGTTCCATCTTGCTGGGCCAGGAACACTTGTGTTTACTGGATCATCAAGGACATGACAAAGGGTACAAAGAGACACACAATAACGTATGGGGAGGGGGGCAAGAGCTCCCACACCCTCTCCAGATCACCACCCTTCAGGAAGCTCCGAGTGTTCAGCCACCCAGAAGCACCTATGAACTTGGCCTTTGCATTTCTCTGGAGACTTTACCACATGGGCAAGACTGAAGGATGACAACCTAGCAGAAATGCAGCTTCACATGAAGGGTGCGCTTCTGCTGGCAGATAGCACAGGAAACAACACAAGTTCTGCCTGCCCCGCTCCTCTGGCCTCTCTGCATAGCTTCCCAGGCCCTTGTTCCAGGGACCCACTGGAATGAGGAGGGTCTTGTGATCTGCTGTCAGGAAAGGAGGTCAGGGAACTTCCACATGCTGAGCTCCACGACAGAATGGCAGGGTAAGGTTAGGGTTTCTGTGACCTGCCTTGGAAGCATGAACAAATACATACATAATCATAACATCACAATGAGACAATGTGGTTGGAAACACTGTGCTAAATGGAGTAAGTCAGACACAAGAGGGCTTACTTCCAGAATGAAGTAGTCAGAATAAGCCAAGTCATCAAGACACAAAGTGGATTAGATGTCACCAGAAGATGGAAGCAGAGAGTAGATGGGACTTCTTGCTTAATGAGTACATAATTTGTGCTTTGGGCGATGACAAATCTTGGCGATAATGTGATTGCTGCACAACACTCTGAATGTAATGAATGCTGCTGAAATTATACACTAAAAAAACAGGGCTGCTGGGCCGGGGATATAGCTCAGTGGCACAGTGCTTGCTGGTCAGGCGTGAGGTTGTGAGTCTGATCCCCAGTACCAAACAACAACAACAAAAACAGAGCTGTGGGGTATGGTGGCGTGTACCTGTAATCCTAGCACTTTGGGAGGCTGAGGCAGAAGGATGGCAAGTTTGAGCCCAGCTTGTGTAACTTAGTAAGACCCCATCTCAAATAAAAAAAGGACTGTGGTGGCCGTCAGTGGTAGAGTGCTTGCTGAGTATGCGTGAGGCCTGGGTTCATTTCCAAAGCCAAAACAAAGAGAAGACTGTGACAGTGGGGATAGGAGTAGACATATGGATTAGTGAAACAGAACAGCAAATCTGAGAAGAAATCTACATATTTATGGGAATTATTTGGTCCCAAAGGTGGCAATCCAAATGAGCTGGGAAAAGACAGACTATTTGGGTGGCGTCATAGGAAGGAAAAAGTTCCCAGTGGGTTAGGGAGACATCCCAGGTAGTTTAAGGAGGCAAATGTAGAAAGACCATAAACTAAACAAAAACATATTTTGAATTTTTAACTTACAACTTTGCCATTAAAAAGGCCTTAGGCAAGATATAAAATGATGAAGCCATACAGGGAGACATTTCTCCCATGGAGGCACAGTCTTTCAACAAGACATCCTGGCAGGGTCTGACCAGTGGGCATCTCTCCTAAGGAAAGTCTCCCATAGGTGCATCACAGTATATCAAGTTCACGGACATTCTCTGAAGCACTGTTCCCAAGGAAACTTCTAGCAATGGCAGATGTTTGAAATAGACTAGAGTACTACAATGCTAAGGACTACTGTATGGTAGTTCAAAGCAATGTGGCTGAAGCTAGATGTGGTGGTGCACACCTGCAATCCCAGCTGCTCCAGAGGCTGGCCTGGAAAATTTAGTGAGCTTCTGTCACAAAATTTAAAAAGGGTTAGGGATGTGGCTCAGCGATAAGAGTACCGGCTTAGCATGAAACCCAGATGGGTTCTGCCTCTAGCATGAAGGAAAGAGGATAGGGCTGGAGCTGGAACTGGAGTGGGAAGGGAGGGAGAGGAGGGAGAGAGGGAGACAGAAAGGGTGAAAGGCTCAGAGGGGGAAAGAAGGAAGGAGGGAGGGGTGTGGGGAAGAGGGAGGGAGGGGAGGGGAGGGGAAGAGAGAACCTCAAATTTCCCATCTAAAGCTGGGCTTGGTGATACACACCTGTAATCCCAGCATATGGGAGACTGAATGAAGCAGGAGATCAGCTGCAGTTCAAGCCCAGCATGGGCTATGTAGTGAGACTCCATCTCAGGGGTGTGTGTGGAAGGGACTGGATGAGAGCACTGGGATGAGAGCACAGGAGAGAGCAGAGTACAGGATGAAGGCCACCTTCCATGTTAACAGGAGGCTGGATGCCTTCACATTTGCAAAGTGGAGGCTGAGGTGCATCCCTGTGGTGACTGGTATCCCTGGTGAAGCAGGTGCCAGGTGGGCGGCGGGGGGGGGCAGAGTCGGAGCTCTGAGAAGCAGGAGAGTATGAAACGCCCCCTTATCCATGGCTCACTCTCATGGTGACCTAGCATGCCACCCCAAGGTGATATACAGATGGATGTCCATGTGGACTGACTCAGAAACACACAGACGAAGGGGGCTGTCTCTGGAGAATGCGACCAGAGGCCAGCGGACATAGGATGATGCACGTTTCATTCTCCATCGGTTACCATCCTGGATGGTAGGTTTTTCTTTTCTTTCTTTTTTTTTTTTTGTAGGTTTTTCTAAACATCCTCATGCATCACTTTTTGGGGGACAGTACTTGAGGGTACAAACCAGGGCCTTGTGCAGGGCAAGCAAGCACTCTACCACTGCGCTACACCCCCGCCCTTGCACATAACATATTTTAAAAATACACAGAATCCAACAAAGGAAAATTTAAAAAGGAAGAAAGAAATGATGCGAAAGCCATAGAGACACTAATACTCGCTGCTGTATGATCACCTCCAGCAGTGTTCTGGAAGTGGGCCAGTGGACCCAATGTTACAGCAGGTGTTATTACAGCCCCAGGACCAGGGACTGGAAAAACCAAGTGCAGAGACTGGAAGACAAAGACCCTGCCGGCCAATGGAAGAAAGGGCAGGTATATGTCAGACACTGACTGGTTCCCGACCCTAAGGACTAATATCAGAGATCCCCTAACATCCCTTAGATCAGGAAACTAAGGTACAAAAAGCTTAAGTAATTCACAGGACACACAGCTAGCAGAATTGTATTCTGGATCCTTTCCCCATTACACTGTGCTGCTTCTCAAAATATCACACAAAGTGAGAAATCAGGATAACAGGATGCAAAACCATTTATAAAGTATGAGGATATTTTGTAAAACATTATAAATATATATGCAAGTATATATGTGTGTACATTTATAGGCAGAGTATTTTTAGTCAGATACTGGAAACAAATACACTAAAATGTTAACAGTGGTTATGAGTGGTGACTTTCTCAAACTGTTTTGGTGCCTTTGCTAAAATTAATATGATTAAAAGGAAAGGCAGGTTATTTAAAATAGTCACTGGAATGGGCAAGTAGCAAAGAAATTCTATAAAAGCAGACTTTCTGGAAAAAGGTACTATGGAAATATACACAGAGACTGAAGTAAACACAAAGTATTCTGCTTAATTCATAAAATAATACTGTAAAAAATGTGAGATTTCAAAGACGTGGGTTCAGACTACTCAGAAAAGTGTTAACTCCCTAAGCTTTCAGTTCCTTATATGAGTATGACAATAATAAAACTTGCTTCATAAGGTTGCTGAAACTAAGTAAGATACTGTCAATGAAAACATTCTAAAAAAGAATTAAACCATGTTAGTTTAACATTATTAAGTCTACCTTTCAAGTCTTCATTAATACACTGGCAAAGACTCAACTGAAAATTAAACAGTAATTATAAAATATAAGGTCAGTTCTTGACTAATCAGTCACCTTTATTTTTAAAAAACAGATGTGGGGGTGCTGGGGATGTAGCACAGAGGTAGAGCACTTGGTAGCACATAAGACTCTGGGTTTGATTTCCAGTACCACAAAACAAAACAGACATGCCAGGCGAGCATGATGGTACACCCCAATGATTCCTCTTACCTCAGCCTCCCAGTGCTGGGATGCACACCTAGCCAGGCATATTACCTAATTTACATCAGTAAGATTTGGATCTGTTTCCTTGTAAGAGTTTTATAGATTTAGCCCTTACATGCTGGTCTGTGATCTATGTGCAGTAATTTTGTATATTGTACAAGGTAAGGGTCAAACTTAGTTCTTTCACATATGGATGTCCAGTTGTTCCAGCACCATTCCTTGAACAGACCATCCTTTTCCCTTTCAATGGTCTTGGTGCCCTCATTGAAAATCAGCTGACCAAAGGCATGGGTTTGACCTGGTCACTCAATTCTATTCCACTGATCTATATTGCTACTTTCATGCCAGCACCACAATATCTTGATTACTCTGTAAGTTTTGACTGATGGAAAGTCTAGTTTGAGGAAGTAACCACTTCAATTCTGTGGTACCTTTTGGATATGGGAAGTATGGCACCTCTACTCTGAGAGGCTGAGGCAAGAAGACTGCAAGTTTTGAGTCCAGCCTGGGCAACTGTTTTGTTAGATGGACATAGATAGATGGTAGATAGATAGATACATAGATAACATTTTAAAAGGGCAGGGCATATAGCTCAGTATAAAGATCCTGGGTATAACCCCAATACTGTTTGGGGGGGTTGGTTTTATTTTTGGTACCAGGAATTGAACTCAGACCTCACGTTAGCTAGGCAGGCGCTGTGCCACTGAACTATAACCCTGGAGCATACCAGTACTGGTGGGATTTTTTGTGTTTGTTTTTAATGTTAGCTGTAGGGTTTTAGTAGATGTGTTTCAGCTGGCTGAGGAAAATCCTTGTTTTTAAGTTTTCTTTTCTTCAGTGCTAGTGATCCAACCCAGAGTCTCCTATTCATTTCTAGAGTTTTACCATATACAAAACACTTGGCTAACAATTCTGTTCTCTCTTCCATCACTCTGAATATGTCATCTGTTGTCTTCTGATGGTCACAGTTTCTTATGAGACATCCGCAGTTAGCCTTGTTGAGGACAAGTTACTCTTAGTGTGTGGCTTTTGACCATATGGTTACAGTATGTCTCAGTGTGGACCTCTGAGTTTATCCTTGGAGTTACCTGAGCTTCTCGGATGTATGTAGATTAGTGTTTTCATCAAATTTGGATGTTTTCAATCATTATTTCTTCAAGTATTTTTTCTGTGCTTTCTCCCTTCACTGAAATCCCTTTATGCCTATGCTGATATGCTTAATGGTTTCCCATAGGTCTATTTATTTATCTTCCTTCTGTTTCTTTCTGGTCCTCAGCCTGGATGGTCTTAGCTGACCTATCTTTCAGGTCACTGATTTCTTCTACTTGCTCAGATCACTCTTGAGCCCCTCTAGTGATTTGTTGTTGTTGCTGTTATGTCAGTTATTGCACTTTTCAATTCCACACTTTTTTGGTTCCTTTTTGTAATTTCTATCTTTGTGTCTGAAGCTTTTTTCATTATTTCCATTCATTCTGGCTTTTATTATGGCTTTGCAGTTCTCAGTTACATCCACAGTCCATTTTGACTTTCTATTTTTGATACAAGGTCTTGCAAAGTTGGCCAGGCTGGGCCTGAATTTGCAACCCTTTTGCCTCAGCCTCCCAGAGTGCTGAGGGCGCACCATGCCCAGCTTTCTCTTCACTCTTTTGATATGCTCTCCTTTAGTTCTATGAACACAATCAAACAGCTGATATAAAATATCTGTGTAGAAATTCTGATTTTGGGGATTCCTTAGAAACATTTTCTATCAATTTTTTTTTGCCTTTAAAGATTACTACTGTTTGTATGTTTTATTTGTTTCAGAATTGGACATCTCAAATAAGCACACACTGGTAACTCTGGAAATCATATTCTGCCCCTGCAATAGGGCTTGTTTTGCTGCTGCTTTTCTTAATTATTTGTTTAGTGATTTCCTGGTAATTACGCAGTCTTTATTCTATGTCATGTGTGGTCACTGAAGTCTTTGCTTTGTGGTCAGCTAATGATTAGACAAAGATTTCCTTAACCTTTCCTAACCCTCTGTGATCACTTTGGGCTTACCTTCAGCACTCTGCTGGACAATTTTATACCTCTACCTCAAGGTCAGGCAGAGGTGAGAGATTATTGCCATCT